AGAGAAGATCTTTTGAAAAGAACGTTGCTCCATTTGACAAAAATCCAGCATACTACTACTACCTGTTGTTCCTATTCCCTTATTCCACAGTCATCACACAGTGATTTTTCTTTTAAAAAGAACCAACAGAAAGGCGAGCTCTCATTCTACTATTTATGAAATATCAAAACCAAAAGTTTTTGAATAGGGTAAAGGCACCAATTACCGTGGGTATAACCCCAATTGTTGAGATTTATATTTTATCTTTTGATATATATATATATAATTGTAGTCAATATAAAATTAAAAATAATTTCTTATAATAAACTTTATACATCCAATTACATCATGTAGAAGAGAAGAACGAGGCGTTATGGTTCACTGTTCATTCTTTGTTGATAAACTTCGTCATTTTCACATTAATTAAAAGTTTTATCCTCTAAGTAAGAAAACTTACTCTAATATCTCAGCTTTAATTTATAAGAACAACTCTTCAATATCACTTATAATTTTTTTTTCTAATGAACTATTTTTCTGGAGTACACTAAAACAAAGAAAAGATTTTGTAATTGTAACAAAATTATTTGGTTATATAGGAAATTTTGGTTGTAACCAAATTTTGATTGGCTGATACAAAGTTGTAGAGTTATTTCAACCAAACATTTGGTTAGGTCAACTAAATTATTTGGTTGAACCGCTAATGATACAACCCAAACGCAACTGCGCTTGCGCTATACAACTCCGCTGAAATGTTTCTGTTAAATGACAACACAGAAAAAACCTGAACTCAAAATGATAGCGTATGCTACTCATTTTGATATGCAGCAAAAATGAGTCAAGTTGGTGGCGCCACTGTCTATGTCGTTTAGCATTGACTCATTTTTGCTGCATATCAAAATGAGACTAAGTTTTTTCTGTGAATTCTATTAAGGCCATGTGGGAAATACCCACGTGACACCCATGCAAAAAACCCTTCAACCCTTTTTTATCATTCCTCAAAATTTCAACTCGAAATTTCTTCTCATTTCCGAGAATACTTGGAACTACCAAAAAGTGTCTTTGTCTCATATGGCCTTAAATAAAAATTAGATTGTATAGAAATTTTTGCAATAAAACTTTTGTTAAATGAAAATTTTGTTATATAGAAATTCTTTTAAGGCCATGTGGGCAATAGACGTTTTTTTGTGGATTCCAACTTTCTCTGAAATAAATAATGATTTCGGGTTAAAATATTCAAGACTTGATTTTGGAGGGTGCAAAGCATAGGGCTGTTCTCCTCATTTACGTAAAAATAATAAAAATAAAGCAATAAATAGTAAAATAATGTATTTAATCATAGTTCATTCAGCGGCCACTCGCTCGAATTGGCGCTGTTTACTGGAGCACTGACACACTCAAGCAACGTCTGTGTATGCGCCGCCATCTTTTTTGTCATTTTCGTTTAAAAATTAAACTTTTTAAAATTAGTTTTTAAATAATTTAACGCAAAATTAAGTTTTTTCAGGAGAACAGCGCGGTGCATTGTACCCAAATCTATCAACCCTCAAAATTTTAGCCTAAAATCTTTTTTCATTTTAGAGAAAGTTGGAATATTGCAAAACACATTTTCCCATACTAGGTCACGTGGGTTTCTCCCACATGCCGTTATATAGGAAATTTTGGTTGTAACCAAATTTTGATTGGGTATACTTTCAACTTTAAATGACATGTTATCGGAATTTATTAAAGATTTAGTTATTGTTATTGTTTATTAATTAATTTACTAGTGATATTTAATTCAATATTATTATTTTTATAATTATTATCGTTTTTAATAGCAGGTGTCGTTCACTGCGTACCTTTTATCATATTTTTGAAAATTTTATGATTTTAACCTCTTGGGTGTCTTGAGGTGGGCTCAAAGTGTCGATGACGTGTATACACGCACATAAATTTTGAGCCCAATAATAAGACGGAATTGGCCTAAAATTTGTTACTCGGGGGTTTTAGGGGTCGCTGCTTTCGAATTTGATGTCAGATTTACAAAATTCAAAATGGCGGATCCAATATGTCGACCAAAAATTTTGAAAATTGACCATATTCGCTTGAAACTCGTTACTCGGGGGTTTTTGGGGTCGCTGATTCCGAATTTGATGTAAGAATTATAAAATTTCAAAATTCAAAATGGATACAATAATAATCACAACCATACTATGCTAATTTGAATTTTCAAAATCTAACTTGAATATCGTAAACAGCGACGTTCAAAACCCCTGAGTAACAGATTTTAAGTAATTTTAATTTTTAAATTTTTAGAAAATTATCTGCCACATTGGTAACGCCATTTTGAATTTTTGAAATCTGACTATAGATTCGTAATCAGCGACCCTCAAAACCCCTGAGTAATAATTTTTAAGTATTTTTAAATCATTTTTGCCATTTTTTGAAAAATTGTCCACCATATTGGCTCGGCCATTTTGAATTTTTGAAATCTGACTTTAGATTCGTTATCAGCGACCTCAAAAACCCCCGAGTAACAATTTTTAATTATTTTTAAATCATTTTTGCCATTTTTTGAAAAAATCGTCCGCCATATTGGCTTCGCCATTTTGAATTTTTAAAATCTGACTTTGGAATCGTAATCAGCGACCTTTATATACCATAGTATACACATTTGCACAAATTTTGGTCATTCAAAAATTTACTGACATTTTGGGCCCACTTATGAGATTTTGGCTTCGACTGCGAAGGGGTTAAGCAATCTCTTCTGAAAAAATAAAACAATTTCTTTTTGTATGATTTTCATTCGTAATAATTGTAATATTGTCTTACAAAACAGTGGGAAAAAATTTAAAAGTGAACTCTGTTACTGTTTGTGTTATGTTATTGGAAAACACTGATAAATATTTCTTGACATGCGTGCGTTGGTGATATCTATGCGAATCTTTCGCCACCTATGGGGATGTATGAGTACTTGTCATGAACTTCCGACAAATCTTGGCACCACTTTAGTGAAGTACATGCATGGGAGATTGTAGTCTATTCTCCATGAGCATCATGTTTACACTCTCTTGATGACATTTTAAGCGATTTAACCTCCTTGATAGACTTGTACACAATAATATGCGTTGTCTGCGACTCGAGAGCCATCTGTAGGTACCGTGTGAATGTAAAAATCCCTTTTCCTTTTCCCGCGCTTAGTTTCAAATTTTTAATATATTAAATCGACTTATTTTAACTATAAAGATTCAAAAATATAGTATTATTAGTATAACTACTGCAAAAAGCAAACTTTAAAAAGAATATCTATATTTTTGTCCTTTATTTTGATGTATAATAAATAGAAAAATCATTATAGAAACCTAGACGTAAAATTTTTTCATTTTTTTGTTAAGCTGTATAATCTTTAACCAGAACAAACATAAAATTTGAGTTTTTAATTTCAATCTTTAGAAAAAAAAAAATGTCCATTTTCTTATTTTTCTCGACAATTTGGTGCACTTTACTTTATATTATTTTTTCCCAGTGAAAATACATATACAGTCATCTATATACATATATGTATATGTAAATTTCTATAAGAGTAGCTTAGCAACTTTAACTTGAAAACATTCAACGAGGAAGCCTGTAGTTGAAACTAACTTATCTTGAAATCGAGATTTTCCCTGGCTTATCTTTTTTTCCAGTGTTCAGTTTAGAGCCACCTGGCTTCCCGTCACTTGATCGAATCTGCACTGTTCAAGACTCCTCTATAAAGTTGTTCGTGGAAGCGTTTTCAGAAAGGGAGTATCGTCTTGAAAGCTATATATATTTTATATATATATATATATATATATATATATATATATATACGTGGGTGCCTTCGGGCTTCCACCATCAACGAAAAGAAAGTTAGCCACGATGGACCGCGAGTTTTGGTGTCTCTTCTCTTAAAGTGCCGTCGAGTTATATCGAGTCGAGACACTCCGCAACCCCTTCGACGAACTTCGCCCCCGATGCTCTTGTCGTAAACAAGCCGCGCGGCAGCCACAAAAGGTGGGTGGGTCGTTTGCGGCTGGCACCAAAAGGGATTTCCATTCTTAATTTTGTCTCCAAGGATTATACATTTGCTGCCTTCAACAAAAAAATTTTTTTTCTTTTTTTTTTTTAAATTACGAGAAAAATTGTGTCAAATACTTGATTTCTAATTCCTTTAAAATATGATTTTTCCACTATCTTTTTTTCACAGAAAATTATAAGGTATTAAAATAAGCTGCAACGCTTATTATTTTAATGCCTTTTAATTTTCTGTGTTATTTAAACACAAAATCTTAGTTTTATAAATAAATATATATGGTAGGGCAATGTATTGCCCAGAGAAAAAGATTTATTTGATTTAATAAAACCAATTTCTTTGACTTGTTTTCTATTATTCAAAATAAAATTTTCTTTGAAACTAAATAAGTTTCTTTAGTTTCAAAGAAAATTTCTTTGATTCAAAGAAATTTGTGCATTAAATTACAGAAATTCTAAATTTCTATCAAATAAACATTTATTTGAATTAAATAAAAAAATTTCTTTGAAACGAAAATAATTTTTTTTTTTAAGTTAAAATTTTCGTTTCCCACTTGACAACACAAAATCCACTACAATAATAATATAATATATTCCAAAAAAAAAAAATGTTTATAACTGGTATTTGGGGATATAGTGTAATTTATGGTATTCGGCAAATATTTCTGTAAATAGAACATGAATATTGTTTGCAAATTTTAATAATTACAAAATGAACGCGCCAGTATTTAGTATCCTTAAAATCCCATTTTAATTTCCCGGAAATATTCATGGAATTTAGTGTGTTATGTAGATATATTGAATTTATTAATTTTTAAAATACTCAAGTTAATTTTATATGAAATTAATTTCTTTGGAGACAATATTTCTTTTTTTTTTTTTTTTTGTTTCGTTTGTAAATTTCGCCGAAAAAAAGTGAAACATTAATATATTATTAATTAATAATCTTTTTTATTAATTTAAACATTAATTTTTAAATATTTTTTCAGATTTTTGGACTACGGATAGGGCTATGATCAGGATCTGCCTAGTTTTCTCTGTTTGAAAAAATGTAAGTAAACGAAATTTTTAACATTGATGTTTGTCAAAAAAAAATTAACAATTGAAGGGAATGTTTAATATAATAATAACGATAATAATAATAATAATAATAATAATAATAATATAATAATTAATAAAAATTTCTCTTAATTTATATTCTACAAATATTTCTCTGCTATTAACTTATTTATAATTATTTAATTAATTTATTTACAATTTGAGAAAATTTAATTTGAGATTTTTTAAGTAAATTATTTAAGAGGATTATAAACAATTATTAAATGTATTTAGAATTAATGTAGTTATTTTGCTATCATAAATAGCATATATAGTACAGTCCTAATATTTAAAAAGAAAGTTATTGTATAATTCGGAACTTATCAATCGAAAGCTTATGTAATTCCGCATCCAACGAGCCCTAAATGAAATATTTTGAATTAGTGGATTGTTAAAAAAAATCAGTTAGCATTGCAATTGTTCATTATTATTAAGAATTTATTAATTCAAAATATTTTATATTAGGGCTCGTTGGATGTGGAATTACATAAGCTTTCGATTGATGAGTTCAAAATTATGATAACTTCATTTGTTTAAAAAAAATTCCATTTTTTATTAAAATTAATTAATATTTCGAAAAAAACGGCATTTTGTTTAATTTGTTTATTAAAAGTATAAATAGGGTAACTGCACCAGTGGTGGATCAATTAAGCCTACTAAATTTATTATTTTGACTTTAAAGGTGTACAGATTTTTTCAGATGAAAAATATAGGGTAATCTTTACAATAGTATGAATTAACAAGTCTTCAAGGACACTATCGTGTAGTTTTCAACCTGCTTGTAACGTTTACACCCCCTCACACCCCCATTCAACAATAAAATGACATTGCTCCAGTCGTGGATCATTTACCCCTTTACACTACACAAAAATAACTTAATGATGTAAATTTTTTTCCAAAAGTATTCTATATCGAAAGAATTGATTACTTTCTACTCTAAAAATTAAAAAAATTTAGACTAAACAATTATTTTTTAAGATTTCATGTGAAAAAGCATAAAATCAACAATTGTTGTATTGCTTTGTTTTCCTAAATATTTTCAAATGATTTTATTTCATAAAACTTATCTATACACCTCCCCTAAACGATAGAAATATTTAGTTCAATTAGAAATAGCTTATTTTAACCTTTTTAACGCTGTTGATCCACCATTGGTACCTGATCCACCACTGGTGCATTTACCCTATTTTAAGTTTTATCGAGGGGGAATTTACTAGTTAAAAACGTGTACACTTGACTACCGGTAATACACCTCATATTACCCTTATTACTGAGAACTACTCGTTATTACAGTTTAGTACACATTATTACAGAGATATTACAAATTTTTTTGCGTTATTACAGCACCGTAATAACGCATTATTACACGGTATTACACGTTATTACACAAGTATTACAGGAAGAGTGTACACTTGACTACCTGAGTAAATTCCCCCTTGAGTTTTATTTTAAAGGGTATAAAAGAAAGAAAAAAAAATTGTCTGTTTAAAAAAAAAGTCAAAATTATTTTTGATTTTCATAAAAAGGGATAAATTTTGAATTTATAAAAAAAAAAAATTTTTTGCACCATTCGATAGAGCAGGAAAAAACTTTTCGAAAACATATAGGTCACCTTTTTTTGCATCCTTTTATAAAATAGTTATGATTTTTCAAAAAATTCAGTCTTTACATCTGATCAAAATTTTAATCCTCTTCTCTCTCTACAGTTTTTGATAAAAATTAATAAAAATTTTTTGAATTGGTGCACATCAAAAATTTTGTAGAAAATGTTCTATTCTGTGCAATATATATATACAAAAGTGTGATATTTTATTTATATAGATAAGAAAAATGTTTCATAATGAATTTTGCATCAAACTCAACGGATATTATGTGTTTCATATATCAAATCGCAAAATTATATTATGATAATATAATAATATTAAATCCATTATAATCCAATGTTCTCTAATTCTGATGATAATAATAATAATAAATAAAGTGAGAATGAAATATTGAATTTTAGTTTTTATACCTATGTGGTTATTATTATTATTATTATTATTATCATTTTGTTATTATTATTATTATTATTATTATTATTTTGATGATAACCTACATAAATGGAAACTCTCAAGTTCTGGTATACAAGTCTTGAAATCGTATTATGTGTTGTCCAAATAAAAAAATTTTGAACACAAGTATCCAATACATTTAACCTCTTCGCTGTCAGGACCAAATATCTTAAAAGTGGATTCAAAATGTTAAGATGTTTTTGTAAGACCGAAATTTTAACAAACGTCTATAGAATGGTATTTATTAATGTATAATTGATAATGAATATTAAGTCAAATTTCAAAACATCGGATCTAATAACACAGGCACACAAAAAATAAAAAGCTGTTTGGCCGATTTTACACTAGTCTATTTCCATATATTTTTTTACGCTGAATCCGAATCCGAAGTCAGAATTATCAGATTGGCTTTTATTTTTGAGATAAACTCAAAAAACTGCTCAGAAAGAAAAATAAAATCAAAAAGTTAAAAATTTTGAATGTCACTGCCGATAGTGTAATTCCATGTATTTTTTGTCGCTGAATCCGAATGCAAAGTCAGAATTGTTAGATTCGCTCAAATTTTTGAGATAATTCCAAAAAACTGATTTTGAGTCCCAAGTAGAAATATCCGTAGCTCGCCGTAATTAAACACCGGCATGGTACTGATCCAATACTGGCTGTCGGTATTGACTTTCAGTACTGGCAGTGTACTGACTAATACACCGAATCAGTACTATGTCGGAGGTAAAAAAATATTAAAACCAGTACTGGCAGTACACTGTCATTCACACCGAATCAGTACTATGTCGGTGATAAAAAACATTAAATGAAAAAGTCTTTAAATTATTTCAATAGGTAGAAAACGATGATTTTTTATTTAAAAAAATGTATATTAATTTCTTTCGAATACTTTCCCTCAAAATTTTGGATGTAATTGTAATGTATTATTATATACCTATATAAAATATATTTATGTTTTTTTAGTTATTTTAGTACTCATTGAAATATGTGCATTAAGTTATTTATCATGCATACAATAACAATAAGTTGAGAATTTTTTTCTAATAGTTTTAAAAATAAAGCAAATGTAATTTTTTCACTGTAATTTTTAAATATTATTAATAATTAAATATTAAATTTAAAAAATTTTTTACAATTCATATTTTACAGTCTTCTTTTATTAACTTATTTTTAATTATGTAATTCATCAATCATTTTTGTCTGTTTTAATATTATTTACGGTAAAAATAATTTATTAAAAATATTTAACTGAAATTGATATCCAGTTTTATTTCATTAAATCTTTGTAAAAATTGAAAAAATTTTGTGAGTTTAAAAAATTTAAGAATAAATTCATTTTATTTTCGTGATCAATAGATAATACAAACTTTGAAATCAAAACTTTTGTATTAGGTGAACTACTTCAAGTCAGCACTTCAAGCCAGCGCGGCTGTGCGGTATGCGTATCTGACTTGCGTTCTAAGGGTTTAGGGTTCGATCCCCCATGCGTGCGAGATTTTTCGTTCTTAGTTTTAAGTGTTATAAGTACAATATTTGTTCATGTGTAATATCAATTATTAAATAATTATTAAATTAAGTATAAGTGCAAAGTAAAAAAAATTAAATATTATGAATTTAAAAAAATAAAAAAATTTACAACACAAATTATTTTTTGTAAAATAATTTATTAAAAATAAAATAATTTAATTAATATAAATGATAATTATTATTTTAATTATTTATTGTTAATAATATTTTATATATTCTAAATAACATTAACTATTATTGGCTTCACATTACCTGTTCGTGGTAAAAATGGGAGTAATAAGCTAATAAGGATGAAATTTGCATTGGAAAGCGTGTTTTAGCATTTTGTAAAAAAGTGAGATTTTAAGTCCGGATGAGTACTTTGCCAGTATTATGCCAGTATTATTCTAGTACTACGTTAGTACTGGTGAGCGGGACAAAATCAGTACTGGACAGCGTTACCAGCCAGGGTTGGTCCACTACTGGCCCAGTACGGCAGTCAGTACTGTTATACTGACTAGCAGTGTTGGGTCAGTACTATGCCAGTGGCACATTTCTACTTGGGGTATTTTGAGTTTTTTGTTACTAGCGTTTTTTTGCAATTATCTCAAAAATTTGAGCGAATCTAACAATTCTGACTTTGCATTCGGATTCAGCGACAAAAAATACATGGAATTACACTATCGCAGTGACATTCAAAAATTTTTTTACTTTTTGATTTTATTTTTCTTTCTGAGCAGTTTTTTGAGTTTATCTCAAAAATAAAAGCCAATCTGATAATTCTGACTTCGGATTCAGATTCAGCGTGAAAAAATACATGAAAATAGACTAGTGTAGTGTCTCGGCCAAACTACATTTTACTTTTTGTGTGCCTGAGTTATGAAAATCGAAATTAATTAAAATCGAAAACTTTGGAAAATCAGTTGGATTTGCTTGTGCGTTTTTAGGGTTGAAATTTTTAAAATTAAAATAGTAAATATAGGAATAATGAAAAAAAAAAATATGAAAAATGGTATTTTATACTACATATAATATTATATGGCATATCTATACAAGATGAAAAATTCTTATAAGGATCATATATATATACACTTGTAAAACTTAGTTTGAAAACTAATGTATGCAATATTTATTCATGCATGCTACATGTATACATATATATATATAGTTAATGTGGTTTTACTGAAAAAGTCAGTTATGAATTTTAACACTTAAAATGATAGAACACCACTCTCTTAAATCTTAAAGTTGTCGATAAATCGCTTCTGAGCTTGAAAGGAGAGTAACCTACGCTGTTTTCTCATGTTTTGTCCACGAAAAGGTAGTCTACAGCCACCAGGGATTTAGAATATTCACAAGCTTGTGCAGGATTGAGTGTGTCTGACATCAC